TTAAAGCTTTGGATTTGACCATGCGAAGTCACCACAAAAGTGTCATCGAACAACCATCCAAGAGGTGGTGTAGGCGGGTGAAAAATGTTGATTTCATTAGATGTATAAAAGCCATACCAATGAGCCTATTCCATCAATTCACTCACTATAACCCAAATATATATCACGATAAACCAACCAACATATTATCAACCGAACAAAAAACGTTGCTAACCAATATGTTTGATAGTCAACATTTATAGTTGGTATTACTATACCAATTAAGTAATCATGCTACGGTAGTTATATAAAGTTCCAATATTACAGTATTACCATAACAAAAAATTCAATATATATATATATATATATATATATATATATATATATATATATATATATATATATATATATGTTTGGTGTTTAGAATTTTAAGAGCTTTCGTATTAATATTTACCTAATGTTTAAAATTTAAACTCATATTAGCGTATCTCATTTTCCTCAACTTTTCAACTTTTTAAGTCACGATAGAAATTAATAAATATTTTTTGAATCGATATTTCAATCTCAACAATTACAAAATACTTATTCACAAAACCCCCATTCACATTTTACAATGCTCAATAATAAAAAACCCAAATTCTCATAACCTACATACATTTTGATATATACCATTACCAATATATATCAACCAAAGTTATTGGTAGTCAAACAAGTTGGTACCAACTATGTACTTTGTACAGTAATTGTAGCAAAATTTACACACCAACTATAATTGGTACAAAATTTACACACCAATTATAATTGGTACGATATATGGTTTAGAATATTAAGACTTGTACTGCACCAATTTTATCCCTAATAACTATAGTGTGAAAAAAGAGTGTGAACAACCATTTAGATTTGACCACATGAAGCAACCTAAATCAAGCTACCAACCTTAATTGGATCGGTGACATCATCCCATTCTTGGTGGCACAATTGTGAAGAGTGGAGCATAGGGTAAGTAGTGGTTCAACCTACATACATTTATCTTCCGACTCAAACAGTTTCTTTATGAAAGCTTTAGGATTGAGCTTATCAAGCACCAAATTCAAAATTTTAGGACGTTCGACTTCACTAGAGTGAGGTTGGATGTAGTTAATTAGCGGAAGGGATACCATCTGATAGTAAATCTTGTAAATCGGAGAGACATAGTTTCAATTTTTTTGTAAAGTGGCCCATATCAATTCTCATGTTTAAGTCTTTCGATTGTTAGACTACAATTAAAAAGTATTTTAGAACTTGATTTGGATTTTATATTTGCTGGTAAATAACCAAAGCAATGACAAGATCTACATAGACAGATCCAATATAGAGCTTGGGGTAACCAAGGATGCACTTCAAATTTTCGAAAAAATTTGTTTTATGTTGTGGTGATACCCTATAAAAAATATGGTCTCCCCTAAAATAATTTAGGTTATTTGTTTTTGTATATTATGCAATTTTTTGTGGTGCCCGTTTACTTTGACACTGATTCCGCCACTGGAATCTATGGTTTGGTCGTCGGACATCGGTCTTGCAGAACTCCATGATCTTAGATAAGGCCAACCGTAGAGGGAGGGCAAGTTGGGCGACCGCTCCGGGCCTCGTCAAATCTTGGGCCCCCAAAATTTGTAATAACTACATATATATATATATATATATATATATATATATATATATATATATATATATATATATATATATATGTATTAATGAATATCCAAAATTAACAACTGATATCCCTTTATTTAAGGGATCCTACGCTCTCATCGGACTCCCACAATGTCTCTTTCACCACCACACAATTCTCTAATCCTAATCTTAAATCCTACAAACTAAACAATCGAAGAACCCTAACTGTATCCGCACTAGGAGCCGACACATTTGAGGGAACAACACTAGCAGTCATCGGAGGCGGCTCGGTCGCAGCAATCGCCGCCGTGATTTCACTCGCAGAACCCGAGAAGCGCCGACAGTTGTAGGCGGAGGAGGTTGGCGGTCATTGTTCACGTTTCAGGTTCACTTTTCCTAATTTACACTCTTCGTTATCTCAATCAGGTCTTTCACTTTCGATGTTTTGATTGAATTTTGTACTCATTAACTTTCGATTGAATTTGGGAGATACAATGATTTGTTAGGCGCTGGTGTAGTGAAGAAGGTGTACAGGGGATTTGATCGGAAGAGATGTGGCATGGAACCAAGTAAAACTAAGAAGCTTCGGTGGAGATCCATCTGTTCTCAAGAGACTCTTTTCATAAATCAAATTGTTACAGACATTAGAGAATGAAAACATCATTGTTCTTTACAGTTTCTGGAGGGATACTAAAAACAGCACCTTGAACTTCATCACAGAGGCATGTGCTTCAGGTAATTTAAGGGATTACAGGAAGAAACGCAGACGGGTTTCATTGAAGGCATTGAAGAATTGGTCAAGACAGATTTTGAGAGTGAAATATGAAATGAGAACTTTATCTCAGGTGTGTGTGTGTGTTTCAATTGATCAAAATTTTCTTTTTTCCACCATTAACATATGCGATTAACAGTGTCTGTCTCCTTTGCAGCTACATGTTTGAATGGGTCACAGTTTCGTCCATTGATACCCTTGTTAGAAGCCATGCCAAAGGAACTTGGTGCTAGCCTGCATGATATGCTTAATCTGATCACAGGTAATTTCTTGAAACAACGTTCTGTCATGGCCTCCATGTGTTCGATAAAATGCCTCAATGAAAAAATAGTTAAAAATCATTAATGTTTTTACTTCACTTTGTTCCTTATTCTTTTCAGAACTATACAACTCAATTTAGATTGGGTTGGATGCCATTTTTATAACAATAGGTTGATGCTAGTTCCTTATTCTGTCAGAATTTGCAGTTAAATACATTGAGCATATCGAGAAGAAACACATGGAACCCGAAGAATGTTAGTTCCTTATTCTGTCAGAATAGGTTGATTCTAGTTCCTTATTTTGTTTGTTGGGTATATTCTTGATAATACAAATTCTTAAAGAATATTCTTGCAGAATAGTTTATTTTGTAAGAATATTATTTGTTATATTCTGATAGAATTGTAGTTAATTATTTGTATGTTTAATGTGCAGGTTTTACAAGTATATCACTACAAATTACTTGGCAATGAATTTCTGGTAGAAAAGGCTTCAAGAATGGATTGAAGACCTGATAGGAAAGGGTTTAAGAATGAATTAAAGAATGATCACACTCATTTTTTAAGAATGTTGTTATTTTTTAAGAATTATACTTGTTTATTCTTTTAGAATGTTTGTTATTATTCAATGAATCACAATCATACAATGTAATTTTTTGATATATTATTAGTTCAAGAATCGATTTTGTGTATTCTTTCAGAATGTATTTACTAGTTTATGTTTGGCATTCTGCCATTCTGACAGAATAAAATTGAAAAATACATTTACTAGTTTATGGTTGACATTCTATCATTCTGACAGAATAAAATCGGATTTTTAAATTTGAATTAATTTAAAATATTCAGATTTTTAAAAAATAAAGGAATTAATCATCCCTAAAAATCCAAAAATTTCCTTTTTTAATATAGGTTAATTGACTAAAATGCCCTTATGATGAAATTTGTGTGATTATATGGTACATGCTATCCTATTCTACTACCATAGACCCTCAAATCATGGCATTTGATTATATTCCATCCGATGGTTTAGATCTGTGCATTTTGGCACACAATAGTTAGTAAAAACAAAATAACCTAACCCTATATATATATATATATATATATATATATATATATATATATATATATAGTTTTAGATTATATAAAATGAAAAACACACCAAGATAAACAAATACACTTTAGCTGAGATGTGTGTGTTTGTGTCTCATAGTTGGTATTTTGCTTTTGCGTGTATGTGTGTGTGTCTCGTGATGAAAGGAAGCATGAAAATAAACCGAAATGACTTTTTAATTCTTAAAAACAAATTCAATCACTTCATAATCTTTATTTATAATATAATTAATTTACATTTGTTAGAGACCTACAAATTTGCAAATAGAAAAGAAAATGAGGGAAGTTTCAATTTCTAAAGATATTTGGTTGCATGAATGAAGCTACCGAGTTACGATTTTGAATCCCCCGATTTCTGATTTTGAAGTTCCTTTTTTGTTTTTAAGTTTTAACAGCTAACATCTGATTTTGAAGATCTATTCTAAAGGTATGATATCTAATTTTGAAGTTCCAATTTTTAGATGTGTAATTGGTATCCGAGAATGTGAGATGGAATGAAGTCAATATCTGATTGTTAAAAACTTCATCGTCTTGTTAGGTTTTAAAATGAAAATGAAGATCCAAAATGAAGTTACTATTTCTTTTATTAGCTCTTTAGACACAGTCTTGCCACTCCCACCCATTTTATCTTTTAACAATTTTGGATATTTGTTCAAAGAATTGCAAGAAAATGCCAAAAGTAAACAATAGATTTTGTAAGACATTGTAAGTTTACACGAATTGTAAAAGAAAAAAACTACTTTATACATTAATTCTAGTTATCAAAATATAATATTTTCTTTATCTTAAAGGGTCTCGTTTTTTCTTTTTATCTTGGGCCTTAAATCGGTTTCAAAATTTGATTTTGGTGGTCGTCTTGTTGGAGGCTGGATATGAGAAATGAAAAAACTGGACATTTTCCTTACGTTGTGGGACATATTACTTTTCTTTTAACTTTTAAATAATAACAAAAAAAATTAATTAAAAAGTAAATACATAAAAGCAATGCAATCGTTTTAGAATTGCTTTCTGCCAGGTACTAAGATCGCAATATAAACAAACCATAGGGACCATATGATATCACAAGTTATATTATTAATTAATTAAATCCTTGTGCACTTCTTTTATTTATTAAAACTATTAAAATCCAACTTGCAACAGTTTAAAATTATTAAAATCCAACTTCAGTCTGGTATAAACGTTTACATCGGCATTCGGCATACTACTTACAATCTTGAATCATTCCCATAATGAACAAAATTACACAAAAGCTCCAAACATTTGCAAAAATTAGACAACTTCACACAATCATATCTCAGGAAACCATTACACCATCTTCCCCAACACCTCCGCACCTGAAAACTCATAATCTCTCGTTGCTTGATCAGTTTGCTCCCGACATGCACACACCATTTGTTTTCTTCTACCGGAACTACAAAAATGGCGACAACAAACTCCTAAAGCAATCCTTATCACAGTGCTTAACACAATACTACCCCTTCGCAGGTGGAATTCCAACCCCTTTTTTACCTTACATCAACTGCAACGACGAAGGGGTTGAATTCCTTGAAGCTTTTAATGATATCCCACTCGATGACTTCATTCACAAGAATGAGCAAAACGAAACCCTAGACCAACTCTTTCCTTATGGTCTCAGCTCTACTGTTCGTGCTTCTTGCCCTAAATTGCTCGATGTCCAGTTGAACCATTTTGCTGGTGGTGGAGCAGCGGTGGCTGTGTCCATGTCGCACAAGCTTGCTGACGGAGCCACCTTTGCCAACTTCATCAACCATTGGGCCACTGTTACACGTTGTCAGCCACCGGTAAATCCATCTTTCGTCTCATCCTCTACAAGTAATAACGTTAGGTTGCCTAAGTTCGTTATTAAGGATTTGGATAAAGTAAAGTATGCTACGAGGATATTTGTGTTTCCTAATTCAAAACTAAATGAGCTGAAGAAGAAGGTTGCTGCCACCGGAAAAGCTCCGACGAACCCTTCTCGAGTTGAAGTGTTGACGTCTTTAATATTTAAACACGCAGTGTGAAAGCAGCCGCGATAAAGTCAGATTCTTTGAAACCATCAAGCTTGTCTGTAGCTACGAACATGAGGAACAAGGTTGTTGAAAACTATTCTGAAACAGCAGCAGGAAACTTATTCACGTTAGCGATAGTAAAGATGGAGGAATTTGGGGAAATCAGGTTGAGTGAGGTGATTTCTGAGGTAAGGAAGGCGAAATTGGGTCTTGAAGGAATGAGAGATGAGCAAGAAGTAGTTGACAAGTTGTTAAACACGTTCTCCACTTTACAGGGTGATATTTATTATAGTTCAAGTGTGTGTAGGGTTCCATTTTATGAAGTGGATTTTGGGTGGGGCAAGCCACAAGAAGTTGTATTAAGAATTCCAAATGTGGATGAGAATACTATCATTTTGATGGATACTCCATCTGGAGATGGTATTACAGCACATGTGCATCTGCCAGAAGAAGAAATGGCCATTCTTCATAAGGACAAAGAGTTTGTTAATTATCTTCAAGACATCTAAAAATGTATGTGTTACAAAAATATTATTATTTTGTATTAACATGCAACGACTAATATAAATATGTTTTGCGAATTAATAAAAAAAGCATTAAGTGGTTTACATGCTAGCTCTCTAAACTCAATATTTTCTAAGGTTCAAAAACACAAAAAGATTTTTGGTTGTAGCTTCAATTCTACATTTTTACTCTTTGTTTTATTATATCATGCTCACCACTAGCAAATCCAAGTATATGTTGAGTGAAAAATTAACTAGTGCCACTGCTCCTTAAGTTCCTACATCAACCACTATTCTAGACTAACCACGGTAATCATAAATGTAGTGGGCACCACATCATTGCCACCTCATTACGTTACACAACTATATTAAGGGTATCTACAATGCATTGAACTCTATAAAGTTCAACGGATTGCCACATCATTTTTTTACATTCCATGCAACTTCATCAAATTTTTTTTTCCTATAATGCATTGAACTTTAGAGAGTTCAATAGAAAGTTACAAAAGCTAATTATAGTATGTATTTAAGATTAGAAAACATTCATCTTTAACATTGAAGAGTTCAGTGGTCATTGAACTTCAAATCCATTGAATTCCAAGGTGGCATCTCATTATGCTAGTGTTTCATCTATTGAATGAGAACTAGATTTGCCACCCCATTCAACCATCTCATTGAACTCATAATTGTGAATGCTTTAAGATGGTATACTCATCACTCCACATAACTAAATCCCTCTTATTTTTTTAATTATTTAAATAAAACGAATATGTTATAATTATTTAAAATTTGGAGAGACAGAAAGAGATAGAAAGATGAAGAATCTTATTAGGTGTGGTTAATTATTGTCGTGACCATAGTCCATCACTCCACCTCATCACCACAATCCACAACAATGATTAGGGGTGGTCTTCATATTCTTATCACCTTGCCATGTCAACCACGAATGGTTCTTGTTACAAGTACTCCGGAAGGCCTTTGTGTGTAGGTTGCTCAGTGGAGGTTATTTTTCTCTTGATTTTTCTATTTCTCCATATTTAGTCGGTGATATTATAATTTAGAGGTATATTGGTGTTGTTAAACATATCTACAATTGGTTTTTGGTCTTTGTTGTTACTCGTTTAAAGATATAAAAATATAAGAACCCGATGTGACGTGTAAAAATAAAATATGTTGGTGTATCGGTTTAAAAATAAATATATGCTGCTAACATAAGTGCATTGTTGTTTTACGTTGAAAAATACAAATACGTTACTGTTTCTAGTTAAAAATAAAAATATGTTGTCGTGTTGTAACACTTGATTCTAGGTAGAAATTTATTTGCGACTGAGTATGATATTTTTTTTTGAAGGCCACGACGTGTTGAAGCCTCACCAAGACGTGGCGATAACCTTTTGCTCGCGGGAGTTTAATGACCCACCATGGCATGGTGATTCTTGCCACAACGTGGAGGCGGCTGTTGGAGAAAACCCTAAATTTTAAAAGTTGAACCCTATTTAAACCTTTTAACCGCTCATGGCCTCCCTCCCATCAACCTCCATCTCTCCAAATCGTCCCTTGCAAACCCTAGATCCTTTGTGTAAGTTTTAAGCCTCAAGTGTGGGTGTTTGATGCTTGTTAAGGAAGAAGGTGGTGGATGATCTTAATGGGAGTCCAAAGCAATGTAGATCCAGGAGTTTATCTTCCTCAAGCATCTTAAGGAGGTATAAAGTCTTCATCTTGATCAGTTAATTTTTAGATCTTTGGATTTTTGTCACTTTTCTATATGGCTTGTTAGTTTGGAATGTTGAAATTCATAAAGGTTGCAACTTTTTGAATCTCCAGGCCATTTGGAGCTTTTGACTCCTTGGATCTGACTTAGATTTGAGTTTTGAGGCCATGCATGGAATCTTGGCCTTTTTGCCCTATTTTGTCCTAATTAGAGTTCAAGACATGCATGTCTGGAAAAACACCGATTATTATGATGTGTTTTGTGTTGGAGACTCTTTTGGAGCTTTTGATCAAGTAACCTTATGGGTTGAGTGATTATTGCTTAAGCCATGTAGTGTTTTGGACCTTAAAGTTGAGATCTATACACTTTGGAGGGTTCTATTGGAGTAAGTTGGAAACTTTATCCACTAGACCCTATTATGGACCAAATGTAAGTTGGAGACCCTTTAGAATCGATGAAAATAGTTGAATGCGTTAAACTGCTGAAAACCTGTTACCACGGTGTGGCAAGGCCACTACGATGTGGTGGCGGGGCTGGTCGCGACTATTTTTTCATCTTTGACACCGCGACGTGGTAAAGGGCTACCATGACGTGGTAGTTAGCTGAGTTGGCTCTTTTTGACTTTTTAACCGTTTGACCTAGTTTGACCCATGGGGGTATTTTGGGTATTCTGGATTATGTTTGAGAATTTCTTTTTTTAATGGTTAGGCATCGGTTAGAGCTGAGATTCGGAGTCGGGACCTCGTCAGCTATTGTTCAGATTCAAAGGTGAGTTTCCTCACTATGTTCAGCTTTAATTGCTCAAAGCAAATAGTTTAGGACTAGGACCTTTAAGGGTATACAATTTCATATCTCTTACAAGATAGTCTCTTAAGACATGAACTCATTCATTGAAGTTGTATCTATTGAATGTTATTGTTTCATTAAGTCATTAAAGAAAATGACAATACGTGGTAATGAGAATGGATTACTTAACTACAAAATTTTTTAACAAAAATCGTTTAGTATTTTCAATATTCAATCTTAATAATTAATACCCTTTCAGTTTCCAAAAAAATTAATTATCGAAGTCTAAGATCCAAGTTGCAAAACAAATAAATGGTTACGTATCCTTTATCGCATCTATTTGAATTCAACTCGGTAGATATCGATTATCAATTATATCCTGCTATATAATTCCTAGATTTATGGGATCTCTAATAGCAAATTTAATTAGACATGTTTGATCCCATCTATGCCTTGGAACTCTTTTGCTTAGGTATCCTTTATCACAAAAGATTTCCGATCAAATCGTCCAATTTGAAAAACTTTTATAATCGGCCTATAACTTGGTTATAGAAATCGTGAATACACCCCGGCCATCAAAAAATAACACTAAGTGGTTAGGTATGATTTATCCCACTAGTGCATACAAGACATGTGTGAGTGTTCTTCAAAATGATTCCATAGGTTTGAGGTTTGTAAAAAGGGTCTTTATATGTTTTATAATTCTAGTTTGAAAAACATATGATATCACGGTTATTACATGCATATAATAAACCATGGTATCAATTTTCAAAAGAAAATCACTTTTAAAGGCTCTATATAAAAAATTAGTTTTTATATAATTTGACGCAATTCAATTTTAATAACCGATATTAAGTTTGAATGAATTTGAACCTTTTATATCTTTAATAAAACTTCATTTTATTACTTATATATTTGGAGTTTGTATAAGTTATAAAAAATCATCATTTTAAAACTTATATTGGAGTATTTAAAAATTTGTCGTTATTAACGATTTTATAAAACCTGGTTTTATTTTTAAAATAATAGCTTCTTACATCTTATGACTAATTTTGAAAAACCCAAACTCCATGTGATGTTTATTTTGTCCAAAATTATTTTAGCATGTGAAAAAGTAATTTATTAACCACACATAATAATTGCATAAAATAAACAACACAAACATGCATAAAATGTAACGTCCTGATTTCAGGTATAAATTTAATTAAAGAATATTTGGTCTTATGACCTACTCTGCGAGTTGGTTGCCCTACTCGCTGAGTAGCAGTGGAAATGGATCGCGTGTTTAGTGACCTACTCGGCGGGTCCACCAAAGGACTCGGCGAGTAGGAGCTGGCAGATGAAACCCTAAATTCTAGGGTTTTACACCCTATTTAAAGGATCATTGGCCTCCACCAGCCTCCCCTTATGCTTCTTGTCCCTCTCAAACCCTAAAATGTGTGTGTGTGTTCTTTGGTGTCCAAGATTGAAGGAGTAACATTGGAAGGAAGCATTTGAAGAAGCAAGGAAAAGTAAGGCCAGGAGCTCGGGAAAACTAGGGGATTGCATCAGACAACACTCTCTGGAAGGTATTAGGCTATTCCTTAAGCTCTTTTCACTTTGAACCTCCCTTGGATGGGTGTTATGAAGGACTCTCCATGTTTAAGCTAAGATCTGAAGTTATAGCTTCGGATCTGGATGGGTGTTATGAAGGACTCTGCATGGATTAAGATCTGCATGGACTCGGCGATTCCGTTGAAGATGGCCATGAACTCGGCGAGTTGGATGAACAACTCGGCGAGTTCGTTGAAGATTGCCTTGAACTCGGCGAGTGTTAGAAAACTCGGAGAGTTGGATAGGGTTTCTCCCAAAATCTTGGCCGTATATGAACTCGATGAGTTAAAAGGAGACCTCGGCGAGCAAGTCGAGGATTCCACGACTTCTCGAACTCTGGAAGAACTCGGCGAGTCGGAGACCTGCACTTGGCGAGTCGAGTTAACATGGACTGTTGACTCTGACTGTGGACTTTGACTTGGACCAAGGGGTTGACCAATTGAATTTTGTGGGTTTCTGGGATTGGGAGATTTATGAAAAAGGTCGGGTGGTACTTTTAGGTGGTGAAGTTCATGTTGGACCCGGGAGTTGAGCTTTCTTATTTCCGACGACAGTTGCGAGGTGAGTTATCCTCACTATACTAAGGGGTCTAAGGCACCAAGGTCGGGCCATTGGATTTGATATCCTAGTAGTTATTGTTATGTTGAGTTTGAGTTAGTAATGCATGCCAGTTGATGTGCTAGTCGGGTAGATCTGTAGGACTGCCTGTGATACTGATTGATTACCTGTATGTGCATTTATGTGTTACATGTCGACATGTTATATGGGGTGGGTTGAGGTTGTACTGCTTCGTGCGGTAGCCAACAAATCCGAGAGCATTCTAGATACAAGCTGAGGGCCCGGTAGGCATTCCAGACTCGTACTGCGGGCTCGATGGCATTCCAGATACGAGCTGAGGGCCCGATAGGCATTCCAG